TAGGTCCATTATAGATATGAAATTCGAATCAAATAAAGAATTTATGGGAAATCTCTCCTTACGATTTAAAGATTCTGCAACCCTTGTAGGTTCTTTAATCCCAATAAGAACGATATCAAGATAAGACAACATTCCCAGCCAAGGAAACATGCCCTTGTAGCACGTTGCACCCACGATTTGCTGCTCTCGCTGCGTGAAATCTGCCAATTTCCTTACCTAAACAAAATGGTATGGAAACTGAAAAAATGTGACTGTTCAAGCAGTCGCGTCAATAACTACATGGAGAAAAACGAAATTTACGAAAACGTGAAGGTAAAAGAATAATTGATAAATGGAAACTGACAAATCTACACGTACACTGCACACTAGTAGCCACTCTTTCTCTGCAACTGTTAGATCGAATGGTATGAAAAGTAAAAAATATATCGAGATCAACCAAATTCAAGGAGAACACCTTTTCTTGTCTCCGTCTGCTTTTCTTTTGTGTTCGCTTACTGTTTTTATCTTTCAGTTTATTTGGGATCGTTTTTTTCTATTGAAATTGCATAAAATGTTGTGATATAACCCCTTTATTAATAATTATGTTAAATCCAAAAGCAAACTAAAGCGCTGATTAAATTAAAAGAGAGTAGAAAAGAGAAGGTGTACGGTAAACTTGAGAGTAAACAGCATTGGGCAGCTAAGGTAGTGCTTGTCATTAACCCTTGTTAAAATAGAAAAACTGTTTTTCTCCACAGTTTTGAAGTACATGTATGCCATTTCGATCTTCATTTTAGGAGTGCTATGCAACATGTCAACGCAAAACGACATAGCTAAAGAGGGCCACCAGACACAAACGGCGGCAACAGATGAAGAACATGAAGGAATCCATACGGGATTAAAACCTTACAAGTGCGCGTATTGTGTTAAATACTTTAGCCTGTCATCACAACGCAGGAGACATGATGAGCGAGTACACACAGATGGGAAACCTTACAAGTGCAAATATTGTGAAAAATGTTTTCGCCAGTCATCACATTGCAAGTTACATGAGCGAATTCACACTGGGGTTAAACCTTACAATTGCAAGTATTGTAACAGGAGCTTTAGGTGGTTATCATCGTGTCAGACACATGAACGAAATCACATGGGAGTTAGACCTCACAAGTGCAGATTTTGTGATAAGTCCTTTACCAGGAAATCAGTTTGCAAGATTCATGAACGAGTTCACACAGGAGAGAAACCTTACAAGTGCAAGTACTGTGATAGGTGCTTTGCTAATACAGAAAATTGTAAGGCACATGAGAGAATCCATATGGGATTGACACCTTACAAATGCGAGTATTGTGATAAATACTTTACCCAGACATCGGCCCGCAATACGCATGAACGAATTCACACAAGAGAAATCGTATAAGTGCAACCATTGTGGTAAGTGCTTTTCTTTTTCCAGCATATTGGAAGCAATGAATGAATACACGCGGGAGTTAAACCTTAAAAGTCTAAATCCTTTGAAAAAAGTTTATGGTTTAGTAGGTCATCAATTTGCGAAAGGCAAGAAGGAGATAGTCACACAGAAGTTTCAAAGTGCAAATATTTGCTTGTATGCTTTGGTGCGTTATCTGAACTAAACATTTGTGTGGAACCTGTCGATTTAACAAAGTGTTAAGGCACTGAAGTTTTCGGAAAACAAACAAAATGGTCGTTATACCGAGGTGTAGTTAATGATCAATTTCCAGCGCCCAGCATTTCCGGATCTGACCAGTTTCTGTTCTAAACATTTGTTTACGAGGCTGTTGTCTTAGTTCAGAGCTGTATATAGCTATGGCACTAGAAACACGAGAACAGGCAAACAAAACTACTTTAAACTATCGTTCACAAATTTTATCCTTTTTGGTCTGTTTCGCATTCAGCTTTAGCTATCTTTCGGTCACATGTTGACATTAATTCCTCACATCGAGGTATATTTTACCTTTGCGTTTCTGGATTGTGTCCGTTATAACGAGTATTTCGCAAAATAGAGGTTTGTTATATCTCGGTTCTGTTCCATACATTTTATTGTAATTTTGGCGGGGCTGAAGATAAGCGTTATACCGAGGACTTCATTGTATAGAGGTTCGTTAAATCGAGGTTCCACTGTATTTATGAAATACAAAAATATCATCAAATTGCCACAAACATGAATGAAGTCATACAGCAGTAAAACGTGCGAGATTTGGTTCACCCTGTTAGCAAATTGCAGATCAGAGAGATTAAATAATTTACACAGGAGTAAAACCTGAAAGTATTTCGAGATGTGGTTCACTCCGTTGAGTGTTGTACATGTGTAGAGCTGCTCGTAAGGTCTCTCCTAATTGGTCGCAGGAAACAATGACATTTCATTCTTTCAATTGTTTTAGTATTGTCTGTTAGCACATCGCAGAGACAATAAAGAGTTGATACAGGAGCAAATTACCATAAAAGATCTCGCGTAGCTTTCCAGTCAGAGAGAGGATTGTTCCTCGACTGTTACCGTCTACTGTTAAATACCGGGCAATCAATGTGAAAGCCGTTGACAGTTGAGTTTTTTTTTAAGAGAAATAATGTAATTGGGAGCTTCTTTCAGAACGTTACGTAAACCACATGGCTCAGAACGAAAATTGGATTTACCAGGTCAAAATGCCTGACAAAAGCATCTTACTTGTTGTTGTTCTGAACTTGTAGTTAAGTTTTTCTTGAGCGTATTTGGCTTACCCTCAACGATCACGTCCACACTAAGGCCCTGTTTATCTGGAGAAAACCCTGTCTCCATGTACACTTAATTGTTACTTCATAATCATTATAAACACGTGCACGTTCTAGCCAAATGTTATATTCTAAAATGGATAAATTCTGGTAATGAATAGCCTTTTTAGTTGCAAGTTTTCCACATTTGTCAAGTTAGCTTAAAAAGAGGTAATATTTTATTTCGAACGTCAAAATGTTACTACACACAAGACTGGTTTGGTAATAGATTTATTTTTTAATGAAGATTTTACCATAGTTTAGTCATTATTGGTAAGAATTTTGATTTTTTTTGTCACAGTGAAGAGCAGTGACCAAAGAGAATTCTAAAGAAATGTAAAATGGACTTAAAATGACTATGGAAATTTCTATCGTCGTTCGATTACAAGGCAAGGTTATAAATTACAAATTTTGTATATGACCTTGACATGACGGTGGAAAATTCCACAGTCATTTTCAGAAAAAAAACGCACTTTATTTGAGTGTCAATGTATTATAAGCCCGAAAGTGCTAATTGGGACACTATATTTTACGTCTCCTAATGGAGACGGGCCCGCCATTTTACGTGGTCATCCGAGCTACGCGAAGGTCCAGCTGCCTGCAGGGCAAAGGAAGTACCTTCATTTCTCAGTTATTTTAAGACCCTGAGTATTGGTCCGGCTCCGGGAGTCAAACCCGCGACCTCCCGCTCTGCAGTCAAACACCCTACTGACTGAGCTAATCCTGCCGCGGTTAAGATTACTGAAAATTAACAGTGAAATTTAATTTCCTACGTCGTTTGCTAGTAAAGTCATTTGAAACATAGTTAACTATGTTTGAAATAGTTAACTATGGTTGAAATGACCATATTTTTAAAATGACGATGGAAAATTCCGCCGTCAATCAGAGAGACAAACTTCGGAAATTTTCCACGTGGTTTTGAAGAAGTCAAAATGAACATGTCGCGTAGAATTGGTAATTTATAAACAGTCCAGAAATACAACTTTTTAAAAAGTGTCATTATGCATTAAAGCCTGGCGCGGAGCGCTTTTCCCGTTAGCCTTGCGCATAAGTGTTCAAACTTGGCTCATTGAATGGTCCAAGACATACGACAAACGTCGCCAATGCTTGGATGCGTCTATTGTCTAACAGAGTTGGGTACAAAATGCCTGATACCCTGGCCATTAATTTACCCGACTGCTTAGCCTACCCCACCATTTACGGTTATTTACGAGACGAATTAACGGTGTTTGGTGAGGATGGTATATGTTACTCACAGTTTTACCGACTAATAAACGACGAGTTTTCAGATGTTTTTATTGCTGGTTTTCAGTGTCACGCCACTCGAAATAGATCAAAATAAAAATCAAAACTATTCGACAGATAAAGTCCAGAATCTGGGAAATGAAAGGAGGTAAATATACCAAGACCCTCGCCAAGATTTGAGTCGAAGGAATAATTCGTATACGAGATATCCGAGGAAATGTTTTACCCAAATTTATAGAGCTTTGTATGGAGACGCCATGCTGGAGCTCATCCGGATGAGCTCCAACATGGCGGATGGAAACCACTGAGAAACATCTGTTACCTAGTTTTGCTACAAAAAGGTGTTTATTCTTCGAGGAACTCATAAACATTAAAGTAATATTTTTTTCTAATACTTGAACTGTTTAGATAGCAAAATTCCTCGAAAAAAGTCACTTTTTAAACCTAAATGAGAGCTCCCTCGGCCGTGATGTAAATGCTGCGTCACGCAAAAGCTAATAAATTCAAGCGTGTTCTATTAGAAAACCAAGAACCCTTTTGAAGCGAAAATTGGTTTGAAAATTAGTTTTCAGCTGCTCTAATATACCATGAAAGTAAAATCTCAGTAGGATCGAAAGTTTTGTAGTTTGAATTTTAGTGACGTCATGTGAAAACCAACAATACGAAAGCAGGAGCCCATCAAATTTGATGGGCTCCTGACGAAAGGTAATGAAAAAGTTCAATCATTTTTAGGGTAAAAATTCAGTGAGCAGAGCCTAGTTAGATCTCGATTGATTGCATTTTTGTGATAAATGAGACTACATTATAATCAACCATCTCCTGAAATGTCCACATATTAATTTCAAGCCTTCCCGCCCAACTTATTTGATTTACATGAATAAGTTCATTAATACGAATACTATGAAAAATATCTATCCTAATCGATGTATTTATTCCACAGCCTACATAACAGGGAAACACCAGTAATGCTGTTAACAGAAGATTTTGCTTTGGAGCTGTAGTGTACCTCTTTTATGTTTTTCAGGAAAGAAAGGATAAATACTATTATCATTGTGGAAAAACCAAAGACCCAGCTAGGTCAAGCAATTACCTCTGTATGATCTTAGATGGGATGGACCAAAATAAGCTGCTTGTCCCTTCACTCATGACCCAAACAAAGGCCTGTAGTAGCTCCTGGAGACTTAAAACCCATTTAACAGGTATTGTGTGGTTCTAAATTTAAAATTTGTAAATTGGTTGTGAAATTTTCAATACAAACTTAAATTACGACTTCCTATTAACACCTTTGTGTCAGAATTAAAAAGAATGTATTTGTTTCATGGTAGACTTTAATTTGTTATGTTAAAAAAAAATCATGAATCCCCACAATAAAAAAGTTGACGCAAATCCCATGTACTATACTTTTCCAATTATGCTGTTGCTCCCTTGTATTCTTACACTTAATATTCCGTTTTCGTTTAGTATAGGAGGCTTTTTGTGATGTCAATCAGTCGCGACAAACTTCAGTATAAATATTATTCTATAGGAAGACCTAATACATATTTGGGGTATTTGCCCCAGTTGTTCAAAAGGTGGACAATGTTATCCACCGTGCTGGGGATAATCAATTAATTTCTACTGAATATTGATTATTTATCCATCGGATTCATAGTGCTGTTCGACGTTTGACAACTGAGGCCTGACCTGTGGAACAGTTTAACAGACAACATCCGCTCATTTGACAGTTTAAGATCCGTTGTTCCTCAAATAATAGTCATCCCTTTATTAATAGCCTCTCTCTCGAATTATCGCCCTCTCGCCATCTTCTCTTTCTTTTATCGTCTCCCTTTGAAGTTGAAGCGGAATCTGATCCAGTAAAACTGACCATTGAAGATGCGAGCCCTGACACCGTGGATATTGACACTGAAACTTTTCATGGAGCCAAATTTGGAACATTTACAAAACGTTTTATTATCCCATTAACATCAAACAATGACCACAACGATTTTTTTTTTAAAAAAAGCCCAAGTTCTTAGTATTATTATGAGCCGTGACAGCATTATATCATAATTCCCCTTTCCTCTTTATGAATATCCTATGTTTTAAGTGCAAATGGTAGATTAGGCCACGAAATTCATACCGCATAGGGCTTCCGTTCAAACACAAGAACAGTTGTTGGGGTATGATTTCTATAACGGAGCGAAGCTGCGCTGTACCGATCTCTTATAACGTGAAGAACATATCAGACAGGTGTTCACATTACGTCGGATAGCTTTTCATGGCGCCTAAAAAAGCTATACCGTATAGTGTGTACATAGCCATAAAAACCAAAGTCACTGGTTTGCCGACAAAAGGAAAGCTAAGCTGAACTAGATACGCCATGCAGTGTTGTTATTTCCAACAGATTTTGAAAATAACATGGATTGCTTGTGTAACTTAAGTTTGCTCTGTAGAATGCTACTTCGTCAGCAACAAACGCAGGCATTGTTATGTATTCATCTGTTGACTATTTATTAATGATTTTTGTTTTTATTTTTATCATTTAGCATGTTCTTCGCCGATCCAGCAGGCCTTCAATTGCCATCGTTTCTAGCATCATTCTTCAACAACGCCCTTTATTGGAGAGGTGATGAATGAGACAGAAAGTTTTCCTGATGAGTCTGAAAGTTCAAGAATTTGTATTGGAAACATCCTCGGTCCTGCAGAGCACTCTTCAAGGAAAGGCACCGACAATACAACAAAGTCTCTTATCAGAATACCTCAGTAAGAACAGTTTGCGTCCCAGTAAAGCTGACACAAGTGCGTGAAATGAATTCGCTTTGCAGATTTCAAGATGATGGATATTTTGCAGTATTCATTGAAGACTTAATATAGTTATTCCGTACCGTTGGAGAGGGTTCCAGAATCCAGATACTAATTAATATTCCCATGTCATTTTCTTTGACTCAAGGTACATGAATAAGATATTTTCCACGAGCAGTTTCAGTTGTTTACTCGTGGTTTGCCGGGCTAGTCCAGGGGACCTTTGAAATGGGGTACAGCTGGCCTGGGGTTTTCCTCCTAGAGGTAAGTGGGCATATGGGGAGTTTTTTCACCCAGCTTTTGTTCCACGACTTCATTTCATTAAGCCTTTACTGAAACTGTGACTGCTAAAAATAAGCGTTGAAACTGTTTTTGTCACCAAAGATAATCTTACTCGCAAAGACAGCAATAAACTGAGAGTGAACATTGCTTTGTGTGTTTCTAATATATAGATTTAGCCAGGGCTAAAAGCGAAGCTCCCATTAATAAATTTATAATTTAAATCAAACAATAAACTTGTAATCCACAAATAGTTAACTTAGGGGCACATATGTGACTTTTTAAGGAAAGCTAAGGCTAAGTGATTTTAGAGTGAAAAAAAAATTTACATCGACTTAATAGCCTTAAATGTACACCCAAAAAATAACAATCATCTTCGTTCACATTAAAGAGCCATGATGGCTCTTCATCACAGTAGATTAGGCATGGAAAACGAATTCTTGGAAAACAAATCAGGCCGAATTTTTGGCGTTCGACAGGTTTACTTAACAAAATCTTGCCAACAAATCTGGGTGCGTGTAAACCAACATTTCATACTTTTTATACATCACAACTGAGGTGAAACAGTAATATGAGGCGCTGTTCTTATTTTTGAAGAATATCGCGAAACACATTTTCCTCGCTTATTTTGCCTAAAATAAAAAAAAAAAATAGAAAATTTAAGAATGTTTGACCAAAACCATGGAGTAACTCCTTAAGAAAATGCGTTTTTTGGGACTTTTAAAAATAGATGTTGTTATTGTTTAAAAAGCCATTTTTCCTATTAAGATTATCGTCAAACACATTTTCCTTGCCTATTTTTTCCCTATTTTTCCTAAAATAAGAAGTTGGAAAATTTTCAATTTTTTAACCAAAACCATGGACTAACCCCGTTGGACAAATGCAATTATTGTTTGCCTTTTAAATACTGTGTTTTTCGTGTCAAAAAGGCCTTTTATCCTATTAAGAATATTTTCAAACACATTTTCCTTGCTTATTTTGCCTAAAAATAGTTTTGAAATAAAACCATGGACTCAACTTATGGAGAAGTGCAATTCTTCCAGTTTTTAAAATCGATGTTTTTATTCTTTAGGAACTCTTCTTTTTCTGCCTGAGATGAAAGTATTAAAAATTTAAGAATGGACTAAGTCCTTTGGAAAAACGCAGTTTTTCGACTTTTTAAAATCGAAGTCTATATTTTCTAGAAAGCCTTTTTTGCTGTGAAAAATATCATCAAACACCTTTTCCATGCCTATTTTTGCTAAAATAAAAAGAAGGAAAATTTTCAAATTTTTGACCAAAACCATGGACTAACTCCTTTAAAAAAAAATCAATTTTTTGTGTTCTTAAAATCGACTTTGTTATTATCTAGATAGGTTTTTTTTCTATTAAGAATATCGTCAAACACTTTCCTTGCTTATTTTGCCTAAAATAAAAAAAAAATAGAAAATTTAAGAATTTTTTACGAAAACGATGGAGTAACCCCTTTATAAAAATGCATATTTTTCCACTCTTTAAAAAAGATGTTTTTATTGTCTAAAAAGCCATTTTTTCTGTTCAGAATATCGTCAAAACACATTTTCCTTGCCTTTTTCCCCCCTTTTTGCCTAAAAAAAAGAGGGAAAAGGGAAATTTGCAAATTTTTAACGAAAACAATAAACTAACCCCTTTGAACAAATGCAATTTTTCCCGTTTTAAAAGCGATGTTTTTATTTTGCTTGCCTATTTTGCCTAAAATAAAAAGATTAAACAATTTCAAACTTTTAACCAAAACCATGGACTAACCCCTTTTAAAAAAATGCAATTTTTCGAGTTTTTAAAATCGGTGTTTTTATTGTCTAGATAGGTTTTTTTTTCTATTACGAATATCGTCAAACACATTTTCACTGCCTAATGTACTTAAAATTATAAAAATTGGAAAATTTTTAACAAACACCATGGGCTGACCCCTTTGGAAAAAAGCAGTTTTTCGACTTTTTTAAATTGATAGTTTTATCTAAAAAGCCTTTTTTTCTATTAAGAATATTGTCAAACACATTTTCCTTAGCTATTTTGCCTAAAAGAAAACGACGGAATAGTTTAAAACTTTTGAAGAAAACCATGGACTAACCCATTTTTTTAAAAAAATGCAATTTTTCGAGTTCTTAAATTCGATGTTTTTATTGTCTAGAAAGCTTTTTTCGCCGTAAAGAATATCGTCAAACACCAATTCCATGTTAATTTTACCTAAAATAAAAAGATGAAAAAGTTTTAAATTTTTGACCAAAACCACGGACTAACCCCTTTGGAAAAAAGCAATTTTTCGACTTTTTAAAATCGATGTTTCTATTGTCTAGAAATGCTCTCTTTTCTAAAGAATATCGTCAAAAACATTTTCCTTGCCTATTTTGCCTAAAATAAGTACAGAAAAATTTTCCAATTTTTGACCAAACCATTGCCTAACCCCTTTGGAAAAGCACAATTTTTCGACTTTTTAAAATTAATGTTTTTTGATTGCCTAATAAGTCTTTTTTGCTGTGAGGAATATTCTTAAACAAATTTTCCTTGTCTACTTTGCATATTTTTATAAATTTTCATATTTTTGACCCAAACCAAGAACCCCTTTGAAAACATGAAATTTTTCGACTTTTTGAAACTGATGTTTATATTCCTTAAAAAGCCTCTTTTGCTGTGAAGAATATCGTCAAACACATTTTTCTTGCTTATTTTTCCTAAAAAAAAGATAACAAATTTTAAAATTTTGACAATGACTAAGGACCAACCCCTTTGGAAAGTGCAAGTTTTCGACTCTTTTTTTGCTGTAAAGAATATTGCCAAACACTTTTTCCTTCCCTATTTTCTCTTAAAAAAAAGAAAGATAATTTTTAAATTTTCGACCAAAACCATGGCCTAACTCGTTTGGAAAAATGCAATTTTTCATCTTTCCAAAATTGATGTTTTTATTGTCTCGAAATGTTTTTGTTTCTAAAGAATATCGTCAAACACATTTTCCTTGCCTATTCTGCTTAAAATATAAGGTGGGAACATTTTCAAATTTTTGACCAAAACCATGGACTAACCCTTTGGAAAAATCCAATTTTTTTACTTTTTGAAATTGATGTTTTTATTGCCTAAAAAGCCCTTTTTGCTGTGAAGCTGATATCGTCAAACAAACTTTCTATGCCTTTTTTTCCAAAAAAGGTAGTAAATTCTAAAATTTTTGACTTACAGGATGGACTAACCCCTTTGGAAAAATCCAAAAAAAATCCAATGTTTTTATTGTCTAGAAAGCATTTTTTCTATGAAGAATATCGTCAAAGACATTTTCAAAAGTAGGTTGAGTAGGTTGCTTGCCTCTTTCACGGAAAATGAAAAAAGGAAAATTTTAAATTTTTGACCAAAACCAAACCAAAAAAGCTTTTTTCGCTGCGAAGAATATCGTCAAACACTTTTTCCTTGCCTATTTTGCCTAAAATAAAAATATGGCTTATTTTTAAAGTTCTACCCAAAACCATGGACTAACCCCTTTGGAAAATTGCAATTTTTCGACTTTTTAAAATTGATGTTATCATTGCCTGGAAAGCCTTTCTTTGCTATAAAGAATTTCTTCAATACATTTTCTTTGCTCTTTTGCCCAAAATAAAAACATAGAAATTTCAATTTCTTCACCAAAACCATGGACACACCCCTTTGGAAAAATTCAGTTTTTCAAGTTTTCAATATCGATTTTTTTATTGTGTGTAAAGTTTCTTTTTTCTATGATGGATATTGTCAAACACATTTTCCTTGTCTATTTTGAATAAAGTAAAAAGACAATAAAAATTTTCAAAATTTTGACCAAAACCGTGGACTAAACCCTTTAATACAATGCAATTTTTCGACTTTTTAAAATTAATATTTTTATTGTCTAAAAAGCATTTTTTACTGTCAAGAATTTATCAAACACATTTCCTTGCCTATTTTTCGTAAAATAAAAAGATAGAAAAATTTTTAAACTTTTGACCCCAAATTATGGACTAACCCCTTTGGAAAAATGCAAATTTTCAAGTTTTTAAAATCTATGTTTTTCTTGCATAGAAATTCCTTTTTTTTGGATAAAGAATATCATCAAACACATTTTCCGTGCCTATTTTGCTAGAGTAAAAGGATGGAAAATATACCAAAACCATGGACTAACTTTTCAGGAAAATGCAATTTTTCGACTTTTTGAATCTATGTTTTTATTGTCTAGGAATCCTTTTTTTCTTAAGTCTATCGTTAAACACATTTTTCTTCCCTAATTTGCCTAGAATAAAAAAATGGGAAATTTACAATTTTTTTTTACCAAGGCCATGGACAAACCCCTTTGCACGACCACAACGCCGTCAGTGTATGACTAAAACGTCAAACTTCCAAGTTACACATTATTTTTATGGATGATTTTTCGTAGGTGCTTACCAAATATTTTGTTTCCTGTGTTCATGGACGCTTCTTTTTTTACCGCCCCTCATTTACACCTGCCTAATTTGCTCATTAGGGCCTGTTTACATGGAGTTGAGGGACCCCAGTTAGGTGAGGTAACCCGCCTAGGTGGGGTAATTAACCCGCCTGTCCATATAATCTCTCATTTTAATTTAGTCACGTGATAAGTGGGGTGACCCGCCCATATTTTTCCTCACCTATCTGGGAGCAGGCCCTTAGTAAAAAAACTGAGTATTATTAACCAGAGCTTCGCTTTTAACCGTGGCT